ACAAGATTACTAATTATCCATTAAATTGCTTAAATCACTAATTTGAGACCATATTTAGAACAATTAATTTTAGCAAATAACTATAATAGTTATTAATATAGGAACTTATGATGTTTAGATATGTTGCATTATTCCAACTTATAATGAGGAGGAGCAGTATAGCTAGCTCATCGGACCTTCTTTGAAAGATTATTGACAGTGTTTTTATCTGAGATTATGATTTTACTCTTTATCTGACTATTTTGTCTGCCAATGGGATTTAGGAATACCTTCTTGTGCAGATTGTTTTCACTTGAAAAGGATTGGTAGTTGTTTCTTAGCAAATTTTTATTCATCTCATCGAATTGATTTTGTTGTTATCCACCAATTAAGAGTTGTCCTCTTGATTTATTATGGATAGAAACATTTCTTTAAGGTACCTATGGAACGATTCCAACTATTTATGCTTGTGAGTAATTTGTTTTAGGGGACCAAAGTCCATTGCTATTATTAGAAAATGGTCTCTCTTGCTAGTCTACAATAAGCAAGGACAAGGGATTCTTTGTATTTGCCTACATACTTATCTTATCACGTGTGCTTCCTATTTTGGATGAGCTTAGGATACTTTACTTTGTTATATAATCAGTTTGGTATGCCTAACTTATGTCTGATTGATTCTCCTGTATAATAAGCTAATTCATATTATTGTTGAAGTTAGGCGGTTCTTTCGATGCTTATATTGGAGTCTTATATTCATTATTCATATCTCTTCTGCTCAGTTCGTTTATATTTTCCTAGTTAACAATGCTAGAATTAGTTGGCTAGGAAAAGTTCTACTACTGTCTGTTAACAATGGTAAGATTTCTATTGGCAAAGTTTTACAGATATTCCTTACGAGAATACCTAATGCTTTACTAATTAGTCCCTTATTCCCCACCTTAACCAATAACTCTTAAACCATGGGTGGTATTCTCGCCTAGCCTTACACCCTATTTTAATTGCATGTTCCCTAAATTAATTCCCATTAATCCTTGGTCTATAGGAGATTAAATCGAAACACTCTGTAAGGCTTTAACTAAATTATCACCTTTCTGGTAATTTTCACCCATACTAATTTTACCATTCAGTAAAGTTGGAGATGTTTGGGTGACTCCCCCAACTTTCAACTTATCCTCCGGTCTTATTTAATTGACTTTGTACTATTAGGATTGAATTTAGTTGCCTCCATGAAGTTTATTGACATTATATCTCATTTAAATTTAGTTATTGTTAACTGTTAAAGTCTTTGAAACCCCTTGACTTTCATTTATTTCAGAGTTCATCGAACTTTACTTGAAGTTTTAAGCTAGTTTCGTGTCTATTCTACTTGGATTACCATATGACTTGTTATTTTAAAGTAATAGCTGCTTTCTCAGTCCCTCTATTCGAGCATCTTCCTCCTCAAAGTTTTTGTTAATATTGAGGGGTACTTGTTGAAAAGTCTTAACTTCCATTAAATTACCAAAAAATATGAATTAATTGTCTAATTTTTTACACTAAGAATATTTTTATCTACCTTATGGGGTTTTGGGGTTTTGGGGTTTTGGGGTTTTGGGG